TTTTTTTATTTTTTGGTAGTAAATACATATGCATAGTCTATAGAGTAGATGGTAGAAACAGAACTTGAAGAAAAGCTGCTTCTTCTATCCAGTTGTTGGGTATCACTGTCACATTTGTTTGTTTATATGCATTTGCTGTGTTGTTGTTAAAACTCAGTCAGAAGGTAATTTTGTCCTTCAGTCTCTATACACAGGACAGCATTTGGGTAGAGCATTCCTTCTGAAGCAGATGTCAAGTTCCATGTGTTCATAGCACCGTGACCATCTTGGCTAAAGAGCTCTTTGAGTTACTTCAAGAAGGCTTGTAAGACTATTTTAATTTGTTCAGGAAGAAGATATAAAGTCATAGAATCATAGAAGGATTTGAGTTGGAAGGGACCTTAAAGATCATCTAATTCTAACCCCCCCTGACATGGGCAGGGACCCCTTCCACAGACCAGGTTGCTGAGGGCCCCATCCAGCCTGGCCTTGAACACTTCCAGCAGTGGGGCATCCACAACTTCTCTGAGCAACCTGTTCCAGTGACTCACCAGCCTCACAGTAAAGAATTTTTTTCCAGTGTCTAACCTAAACCTGCTCTCTTTTAGTTTGAATCCATTCCCCCTTGTTCTGTCACCACATTCTCTTGTAAAGCATCCGTCTTTCTTGCAGGCTCCCTTCAGGTACTGGAAGGCCACAATTAGGTCACCACAAAGCCTTCTCCTCCAGGCTGAATAATCCCAATTCTCTCACTCTTCTCCTAGCAGAGGTGCTCCAGCCCTCTAATCATCTTGGTGGCCTCCTCTGGACTCGCCCCAACAGCTCACTATCCTCCCTGTGCTGAGGCCCCCAGGGCTGGAGGCAGCACCAGGTGGGATCTCACCAGAGCAGAGCAGAGCAGAGGGACAGAATCCCCTCCCTCGCCCTGCTGCCCACACTGCTTTGGATGCAACCCAGGACACAACTGGCTTTCTGGGCTGTGAGTGCACATTGCTGGGTCATGTCCAACCTCTTGTCCACCAGCACTCCCAAGTCCTTCTCAGCAGGGCTACTCTTGATCTGTTCATTCTCCAGCCTGTGTTGACACTGGGGGTTGCCCCAACCCAGCTGCTTATAGATTATTATTGTTCTGCCAAAACCAGAGAAATAATTCATAAGAAGGTTTATAAATAGTTTAGTATCCATATATGTTTATACTTAGTGGATGTAATTTAGTCCTTAAAAGACATACTTGCAATTAATGGTGAGTTTGGTGGTTATTTTTGTCTAGTGGAGCTTTCATGTGTGTTTTTGTTTGTTTGTGGTTTGGGGTTTTTTGGTAAATAAAATATCGAGGTGAGTTTTTTGTTTTGTTTTAGGGTTTTTTTTCTTATAATTATATGCTTGATTTGCTTTTCTGCTACATGATAAAGGAAAATATTTCACAGTTTGGACTGTGAGGCAACTTTTACAGCATTTTTAATAAATTCTGGAAACATGAATATCACGGATTTGCATGTACTTGTCAACTGACTATGTAAGGTCAAGTATAGGGGGTTAAATTTTGTCTTTTTGAAGTCAGCATGATAAGCTTCCCTTGAACTATGGCAAGAATGTTTCTCAAATACAAAAATGCCTCTTCCTTTGCTTTTTTTTCGCCCTCAGTAGTCAGTTTTCTACAAACGTCAATATTAGCAGTAGCAGTTACATATTAACTTTTTTTTTTACAATCTTAAAATGGGCAACAAAGTTAAAAGCACCCAGAGGAATTTTCATCTGGTCTTTTAAATCGTGGGTGTTAATAGGTCGTAAATACTTGCTGTGAAATGGCACACGCCTTTCCTGCAGGCAGCGACTGAGCTCCTGCCACGTGTGCTTGGTGAGCTGCCACTTGTGCTTTGCTGCAGAAATCGGCTCTGCTATTGTCACTGGGGGAGTATTATTAACATTTTTATTTATTTCTACAGGTGTTCTCCATACCTGCCTCTACTCAGCATCTGGGTAAATGGCAGAGTCAGTATTTCACTCTTTTCCTCGTTTGTTTTTTTTCTGTTTTCCCTGCAGGAATTGTGCGTGACTTTACTAAAAGTGAGTCAACCCTGATGAGGTATGGTTTCATGATACACTTAATAAGAGGCTCGTGCTGAAGAGGAGAACAACAGTGCTTGAAGGCTGACTGGCTGTGTGCCCCATCCCCACCTCACAAGGTCCAAGCCCTCCAACTGCAGAAACCCAGCTCAGAATCACAGAATGGGTCAGGTTGGAGGGGACCACAGTGAGTCATCTGGTCTTCCCTTCACAATTTACTAACTCACCTCTTTTCAGTAAAGAGGTGATTGATGTACCACAGTTACTGAAATTAGAATATGACAGTTGGGTCACCTGGTCTGACTTCCCTGCTCAAGGAAGGTTGTCCCAGAGCACACGGCACAGGATTTGTCCAGACAGTTCTGGAATATCTCCAGTAAGGGAGGCTCCATACCCTCTGTGGACAATCTGTCCCAGTGTGTGGTCACTGCACAATAAAGAAGTTCTTCCTCGTGTTCAGATGGAACTTCCAGTGCATCAGTTTCTGTGCAGTGCGTCTTGTCCTATTGGCCCTATGGAGAGGAGCCTTGGCATCCCCCTTTAGACGTTTATACACATTGATGAGGGCCCCTCTCAGTTCTCTCTTTCCGAGGCTGAACAGGCCCAGCTCCCTCAGCCTTTCCTTGCAAGGGGGATATTCCAGCGCTTTCATCACCCTCGCTGCCCTCCGCTGGACTCACTCCAGCAGCTTTACGTCTCTCTCGCACTGAGTAGCCCAGACAGAGCAGGAGTCCAGATGTGGCCTCACCAGGGCTGAGCAGAGGGGCAGGACCACCTCCCTCGACCTGCTAAGGACCTGCTCGCTGCCCTTCCCAACGCATCCCGGGATCCCGACTCGGCCACGAGGGCTCACCGTGGGAGGAGAACCCTCCGCAGCCATATCGGCATTCCCAGGCGGCGCCATCCATCGCTCGGCCAGCGGCTGCTCCCCCTGGTTGCCAGGCGGGCCCGGACGCGCCGCCCGGATCCCGCTTCCCGATCCCGGCCCGGCCGGACGCGGCCTCCTGACCCCCCCCATGGAGGGGGACAAGGTGAGGGGAAGCGCCCGGTGAGCCGGGAATCCCGGGGGCAAGGGCAGGAGACAGCGCTGGTGTCTCCTGTGCCGGCCCCGAGAACCCCGCGGCTCTGCTGGGGCCGGTTTGTCCCAGGAATCCCCCACCCAAGAGCGGCCGTAAGGAATCCCTTATCCCTCTAGCACAGGGATGAGGCTGCACCGGCCACACACCTTCCTGCAGAACGCGATAGGTGCTTTAGGAAAACACCCCGCGTTTCACATTGTAGATAAAAGTATGTTTAATACCCACTCATTGTCAGGTTTTAGTTCTTTAGGAACTCACATCACTTTCTCATTAAGGTGTTAAATTATGGAAAGTTTGTAGAGCTCCAAAATAAGGGAAACAAACCCACGTGTACGCACGGACATCAATTACTGTGTTACATTTTCTCTTGAAAAAGCAGAAGTGTCAAGCCAGTTTTATTGCGGTCATGTGAGTCTGGATTTTGCAACTAATTAATTTGCGGTCGTGCTGGATAGAAAATGCAGGAGGAACAGAGTGGCTGGGCAGGGGATGTGAAAAGGCGCATTAGTATCCCTCTGGAAAACTTTAGATCTAGTTTCAGTAACTGTGGTACATCAGTCACCTCTTTGCTGAAAAGGGTGAACTGGTGAATTGTGATGGGAAGTTAAACTCTGATCTGATTTTTTCAGGTGTGTTGGTGCCACAGACCCAGAGGCAGTGGCACCAACAGCCACGCTGTAGGAGGAACCCCCCTTGTGCTGTTTCTCTTCTATCGCTCGTGCTCCTTACCTAGTTGAGGGCTCTCAAATTGGCAGCTCATATTGGAAATAAGAAAGATAAATATTTGTATGTAAAAAGTAAAGAAATTTTCTCTGTTTTAAAAATTTCTCTTACTGCTCTTTGGTTTCTTTTTCTTTAAAATTATAGTGAACTGGGTTCTTAACTTAGTTAAAAAGTAAACATTACATTCTGAAAACCTCTAATCTTTCTCCTTGTACATGGAGAAATGCCTTATGATCTCCCTTGAGGAGTTTATCTAAAACAGCAAGGTTCCTTATTCCACTGACTAATTTTTGCTTAGATTAAAGCATGGATTCTTAAATGGTAAAAATTTTCATAGCACTTTTTGAGTTCAGTAAATATGTGGCATTTTATGTGAGCTGAATGCTCTCAGGTGGATGAATTAAACCCCTGTGTCATTGAAATAACTAATCTTAATCTGGATTTAAATGAGTATATAGGTACATATGTAAGTACTTTTAAATTAGCAGACAGATGAGAAACTTCAATAAATCCTTTGAAAGTTTGTTTTAAACATTTTTGTGTGTATACATTTACTTATAGTGGTCTCAAAGGTATTAAGTTTCTTTAAATTTTATAAAATACCTGTCTTTTTATTAGTCTCCTGCAAAAGCAGAGATTTAAGTGAAACAACATCATTTATAAAAGGAACAGATTCTGGGGGGCTGGTGGTGAAATCTTCACACCCCAGAAAACTGGCAAATGCATATTACTGGGTGCCAGAGAATCAGCTCTGAATGTTTGCTGAGTGCTTTTTGCCTCAGCTTTGAAGTAAAGCTCAAAACCTTATCTGATATTGTCTGTTGGTTATGCTGGTTTTAGGGTATTAACATCATTAGCATTCTTTCTTTGTTTACTGATATATACCTAAATCTTGTCTAAAACCAAACCATGATCATATATATTAGAGATTTTAAATAGGTTACTATTTGAGACTATAATGCAGCATTCTGTTCTCTTCCCATCCATATCCTTCCTTCCAGGTTACACTCATACAAGTTCTGTTGAGTTTCTTAGGCTTTGTTGAAGCTTCACTTAGGAAAATTATCATCTTTGGTTTTACTTTCTCATCTGACTTTATGCAGTAGTAAATACTTGTGCTTTTTCGTCCCTTTTTTATGTATCAGAAAAAAAATAAAACTTAAAGGGCACTTTCTTTTTGTTACAAAGGCTGCCTTCTTGACATTTCTCATCAACTTTAGATGAAGTTTACCAGTCCACTACAATCTTCTATAAAATCTAAGTTTGAAAATACAAGGGTTTTTTCATGTAGAGTAAATAAAAAATTAAAATATACTGTTAAAATGCTGCTTACATATGAATTTACAAAAAAATAGGCACCATATGTTTATTTTCTTCCACCAATGCAGCTCATAATTCCAAAATTTATCAGCAAGTGTTTTGTTAATCTTTAGAAGTTAAGTCTAAATTTGAGAATAAGGGTAGCCTGATCACGTCACTTTGAATATAGTCATCATCCTCCAATGAATTAGTTAAAAGATTCAATAGATTAAAATTCCTCCTTTGCTTTAGTAACAAGATGATTTTTTTAGTTTAGTCTTTTTAGCAGCAGCCAAGCAGTCAAGGGCAGGAACTCTGCAAATGAGGATAGAAGAAATATAATCTCACTCTTGTGAGACAGCCATCATGTGTACTTTGATTAGTTTCATTATCTTTTTGCTTCTTTTCTTTAGTGCTACATACAAATATTTCATGTGGCAGTTAACTCACACATGTGATCTTAACTTTAGGCCTCTTCCAGGTCCAGTCAGGTCAGCTTTACTGTAAATAGACCTTAGAGCTAAATCAAATTACTGTTTGCATGAAAAAAACTCAGTGATACTTGCCATATACACATTAATCCTTTCCTTTGAAATACTATTAGTTGTTAAATGATTTACTTCTTGCAAATTTATTACTCAGGCTTTTCTGTGTTTTCTGCTCTAGAGAAGAACCAAAGAAGATACTTGGAAATCAGAAGAACTTAGGAAACATCTTAAGGTGATTTTATTTTATTTCTACTAGTCTGGATGTTAAGTTACCTTACAGCACTGGAATTTATTGATGGTGCAAACACACAGGGCTTCCTGCTTGTTCTGTGAGTCACTCTGCCTTGTGGGATCTATAGCAGCTCTTTCTCTTTAATGCTTTTTGGTGCACCAGGCACTTTAAATCTGCACCATCAAATACAAACAGTACAGATCTTTAACATGTAGCTTGTCACACTGACTGTTCTGGAATCTGTCTAGTCCAAGGGTATCCAGAGCCAGGCCCACTCAGCTATTTCTAGCTACACAGGTCGTGTAAGGTTGCTCTACGAATTTCTTAATTAGGTAAATGGAAATAATACTCTGTTATGGTAATCACACAGCAGTCAAGGGGATCTAACTTGCTGGCCACCCAAATCCAAGTTACAGCTCTGCTTTATGTCTACTTACTCACATTCCTATATGTATATTATCTATTGTATTTATTTTCATCATCTATCATGTTTGTCATGCCTTTTTAAACTCAGTAATTACATTATCTGCTGTCAAACAGGCATTGAAGCTCCAGTCAGGTACACCATTGATATTCATGTTAGGTTCTTTCTGTATTTTTTAAAAGCTTCTTATCTATCTTATTATTATTCCATTTATTAATCCTTTTTACACTAACCACAGACATAATGTTAGTAATTTTGCAAAGTAAGCCTAGAATAGATCAGCATTTTAATGTGATTTGGGAAATCAAATGAACATTCAGCAAGCTACCATTTTTTTTTTGCACATGAATATATTAATATCAAAATAGATTGCTGAATTATAACAATAGATTTTTTTTTTAATTTCAGGCATCACAACCAGATAGTCAAAATGAAGACCAAAAGCACAGAGAAAAGAAACTGCAGAAAGATAGGTCTGCTCTTGACACAGACACTCATAAACATGAACGAAAAGACAGAGGGAAGAGCAAGGAAAGAACACGAGAGAGAGAGAGGCTTAAATCTAGTGAGAGAGACAGGGATAAAATGAGAGAGAGAGAAAGGGGAAAAGAGCACCTGAGAGGAGATGGAGAGAGATGCAGAGATAAGCTTCAAGAGCCACATTTGGAGAAGGAAAGATACAGTGTACCCAAACATAAAGATAGGGAGAGTGATAGAGAAGGAGACAAAAAGCATAAGAGACATGAGATAAAGCAAATAGATACACAAAATAATCTGAAATCATTTGAAGGAGGACATAAAGAACATCACAGAAGAAGAGAAGGCAGGCATCGTTTGGGTAAGTTGCTTTAGGTTGCTTTTGTCCTTGGAAATTTTTGATGTTTCGATAGGAATACTCTGAACCCATACCCCGTCTGTACGGAGAGGATAAAGACAGGTAGGTGTGGATGCCTACTGACAGGTGTATCTTTAGAGAATCTTTTGGTAACCTAGTTTTATTTTAGTGCTTTAAAAAAAAGTGATGCTTGTTTCCCTTCCTCTGAACAGAGGATGGATATCACTGGTTTTGTTGGTCAGTTGACTTGAAAAGAACAAGAACCTTCCTGCCCAGACATTCTCTACTGAGTGACCATTTGAATCCCCAACCTGCAGGGTGACTGCTGAAGTTAGTAGCTTGTGTCATTACTCCTGCCATTACACAGGACAATTGAGAACATTAGGAAAGAAGAAGGAGTAACCAGCTTTGGAGAGAGAATTTCAACAGAATATTCATTTCTTTTTTGAAAGCTTTTGTGTTAGAGAAAACACATGTCACTGAAATACTATTTTCTACATGCTAGAGTTAATTATGTACAGAGTTTAAGTATTATAAAGTTTGTTCCTTAATTTATACATCTGTTTTCTAGAGGAGGAAAAAACAAGAAGTGAAGAGCAAGAAAGAAGGCATAAAGAAAAGAAGGTAAAGGAAGGGAAGGTAGTGAAGTGTTTCATAACACAATTAGATAAAATTGTAGAATAATGAAGAAATTGGATCAGACTCCATTTCTTGAGAAATCCTAGAGATGCATAGACAGTAAGGTGCTTACAAGTGTACAAAACACACAAAAATATATCTCAGCCATTCTGTTTTAAGGAAATGCTTTATTCTTTTTTTTTAAAGTAAACATTAAATAAAATTTTCATAGCAAACAGTGGTTCATTTTTGCACAGTTAAATAAAAAATTTCCATTTGGTATTTATGACTTTATTACAAGGGTAATTGATACATCCTACTTTATTTTAGACCACCTAGTAAACAAGAATCAAATTTTTATGTGAAGAATATGTAGTCCAAAGAATTTTCTGTAGCAAAGTATGATATATGTCCCAGAAGAACTATCAGAATCTCAAGTGCTATAATAATTGAAACTTGCTATCATAGGAAATTAAGGTGGCTGGAAGATCCACGTGACAGAAAGATTAAGTACTTATAAATCCATCATTCTAATGGTCAAAAATTGATAGATTTGTGAAGATAAAACAGTCCTGGAGAACTTTCTAACCCTTTAATGTTATTTTTCTCCTTCCAGGATAATGATGCAAGAAGGAAAATTGACAAATTTTTAGCCTACAAAGTTGAAGGTGAACGTGTACACAAGTTAGAGAAAGATCAAGAGTTGGATAGAGAGGGTGAAAGAAAACATAGAGAAAAAAAAGAACATTCTGTTGGGCCAGAAAAAGAGAGGCTTTCAAAAGAGAGAAGTCATAAACGGTATGGAAAGGAAGAGGAAGAAAAACATAAATCAAGGAGGTCTAAAGAGGGATCTTCCCATGGAGACAGAGAAGGACAAGCAGCAGAAGTTAATGAGAGAATAAAAAGCAGAGACAATGAAAGAAAGAAGCATGATCTAAGGGTAGGTTTTGTTAAAACATTATAGCTTACTTTAATTCTCAATTCATCATAGATAGGAGAGTAATAAAAATCTGGGATTGTAAGTCAATGTTTTCTGAAATTTGAGGCCAAAGTGGTAGATTAAAACACTACATCCGTATTTCAGTATCCTAATCCAGAGCTGATTCTTCCCATTAAATTTAATCAAGAAACTTGCTTAGGTTAGAAACATCTTTTATGCATAAAATTCTTTATTGCTATGACTTTTGCAATTTTTACAAATGCCTTGAGTGAAGCTGTCATTAGGCTTGAGGTCCATTCAAGTGTATTGGCTGTCTCTATAGAAAGAAACTATGATTTTAATAGAAGCTATTTTCCATGTTGTCTATAAAGGGAGCACATCCATCTAACTCACAAGTAGGCATGTGGGTGTAGACCCCTCATATTTGTGAGGTTTACCTCTACTTCTGAAGCATATCTTTTATATTTCTAATATAGAGCATGTTATTTCCTAGAGACTTTATCAAAACCATGATATTTTTTACTGGTTTTTGTAAGTATTCATTCTACAAGAATGAGAGAAGGAATATCTAGTAATTTGTAATTCTTAAAAGCAGATAAGTCTTATGGAACATATTACTATTAAGATGGTCTAGGCTAGTGCCTAAAGAGTGAAGGTGTACAAGCTTCTCAAATAAAATTTCAGAAATATATATTCTAGTGAAAAACTAGTCATCTTAGGTGTAGGGGCCCACCCTGAGTGATTCCTGTGACTGACTTTCTGCAGCAGGCAACAAAAGTCTATCAGGGACTTGCTCAAGATTTGGCTTCCTTAGAAATTTATTCAAATAGCTGTTATAGGACATACACAATGATGCTTCTGTCCCAGAGTTATGCTTGGTTTTCTGAAGTTCATGGATAGAGACAAGCACTTTTGTGTTAAACAACTTATTGAATATATTTCCAAATTTAGGGAGACCTTCATAATACAGAATTCAAGAGTCAAGTCCCTATACTGGGTATTGAAAGTACCTGAGACTGTTCCTCTGTCCCTGGGTCCAATTTGTGTAAATTGTTGGAGTACAAACTGTTAAAATCTCTTTGTTTGGAACAAGTCCATTGTCCCTAGGAGTTTTTCAGAAGATCTTACAAGCAATGACTGAAATAAAAAATGATATGTCATTGAAGCAATTAATTAGAGACCTTTCTTACTGTTTGATAACACTGTTACTAACACAGGTTCATATATATATTTCCTCCCAACATTTCTGACACATGAATATGGTGACTTCTTTTACAGACCAGCGAATACAAAAAGGAGGAGAGGATTCAAGAGGAAACAAGCCATCAGCATGTAAGGTAAATTCAGGGATTTAAAATAAGTATATACTAGACAGTATGCACTAAAATTCATTTACCACCAAACCAATGTGCATGAATTCTTGATCTCAGATATGTGGGGTGAATATTATGTTTTTCATAGGCCCAATACAATAACAATTAAAAAAAAAAGTGTTTTGACCCTAAGGTCATTCAGATAAAAATGTATGTCTTTATATTCCATTTATTTGTTATGTATCCCATGGTAGCAAGAGTTATTTTGCAGTCCTTGCAAACTACATGTATATTAATCTGGGCACTTAGTTTGTGAGACAGAAATGCTGTATTTTACCACCTGGAAGTTCACTATACAGTCATGTGGACACATATGAGGTTCGTGATGAACTATGTAGGACTCCCTTATGTTATTTATTTTAGTTTGAATATCTATACTTAGTTCCTATCCTAGATAGTATCTAAAACATTAGATATTTATAACAGTTTTGCAGTTGTATATCAAAGGGAAAGGTCCATCCTCAGTAAAATTTCAGGGTTATATTTCTAGGTTTTATTACTAGCAAATATAAAATCTCACAGAAGTTTCCTGTATATTCCAGTTCTCTTTGCATTCTTTAATTCTCCAGCCATGTGAAATTCCTATACAGCTTTCTGAAGTGCATAGCTGGGAAAAGAGAGTGAACCATTTCTGAATGGCAAGGAAGGTAGTCTGATTTAGTGGGATGCCCCAAACCCCTGGTTCAGCTTCAAGCATTGTTAATGTTGAATCATTCTAATTTGTTACGATAGGATCCAGCAAAATTTTAATTTTTGTTGTTGCTTTTTCCCATGTTTATCAATCCCAACAGCGTCTTTGAATAGTCACTTAAGAAGTCAAAACATTCTCTTCTTGAAGTCTGATACTTGTAAAATAATCAAAGAGATTGTTAAGGAGCAGAGTGGGTTGTTAATTGTCTCCTGCTCTCTGACCCTGATTGCATTGTCCTCATAAATAAAACCCCTGAATGAAAGCACAGGTTTGAAGTCAGTCTGTGATTTATGGCTTTGATAGCACATTGCACCAACCTGCTCTTGATCTCCAGTTCACTGCAAACATTAATACAAGTAATAAATGTGTGGGTTTAATAGTTTTTTTTCCTTTTTTTTCCATTTTGGTGCAATTATAGATGTTAAATTTGGAAAAAAATTTTGCAGTTCTTAGCTGATTATTCACGTGGCTGTTTCATGATAATTTTACGTAATAGAGATCTGTAGAAATATTAGTAGAAATACTTCAGTTTATTAAAATTTTCAAGTGTTTTTTTCCTTTTCATGAAAAAAGACTTTTTTTTTTCCAAAACAAACAAAACCCCCAGAAGACAAAACCAAAACAGAACTGCTGTCTTCTGAGTTAACCAATAAAATTGATATTCTCTTTTTTTTTCAATAGGACTGTAAAAGATAAGGGAAAACTCATTGAAAAAGAGGAAAAGGACACAAGCCAAGAGGTAAAACTATTTGATTTTGGAACTCAGAATGGTACATTTGTATTGAGATGAATAACAATTACAATATATGTTTCAATATAATGCATTCAAAGATGATATAAGATTTATGTATACTGGTCTTCAGGTATCTCCTAACCTCTCTTCCTGGATACAGCATTAGAAAATTTATTTCTTCTATATAAATTTGCTAAACATTGTAGGTAGCCATTTATTCAACTGTATTTCAGTATCTTCTATGCTTGAAAAAGTAACTCAATAAGGGGGAAGAGTTTAGATGTGTAATACAAATCATCTATAGCTACCTAAAGTATATTATATCTTTCTGTGAACAGCTGACACGGGCAAATAACAGATAATGCAAGCCAAGTAAAATGCAGCTAACAGTGTAATTCATATATGTCTCTTAAATCAATTGCCATAAGAAATGGGAAAGTATTTTTATATTTTTCAATGGACAGTTGCTGACAGAACCAAATTTTCAGCAAGCTCTGGAGAATTGAGTTTATTTGGACCAGTCTGTGCAGATGCAGCCTATAACTTTACCATACAAATTTTAAGATGTTTTGTCCTATTTTCTAGTGTTTGATTCAGCTCACCTGAAAGTGTGAATTGTCTATGGTGAGGACCTAAATTTCATTTGCAGTTTGTGGAGAGAAATAGGCAGTTCAGTCCTTTTTTATTTAGTCTCCTCCATTATCTTCTCTGTCTTCACTGACAATGTGGGGCAACATAGGAGGATGAAATCTCTACTTAAGACCACACTCAGCAGGGAGAATTAAATCAAATTCCAGGGGCTTACAATTTATGCTGTTAATTTTCTTTGTATGTTTGTTACTCCAATTGCCACAACCATCCAGATATTCCAGCATGACTTCCTAATCCTGCTTGGTATTGACAATGTATTCTCCATATATTCTTTAAAGTAGGAACCCAGACAACTGCTGACAGGTGGAGGTTTTTAGTGTGTAAAAACTACATGGACTGTTATAAACAAGTGTGTTATTAATAAAAATGACTGCTCTGTAGGCATATTCTGAGATGATGACACTAAGATAAAAAAGACTATAACTATCTTTATGAGTGTGTTACTAAATGGAATAAAGATTTTTTTAAAAATTACATGAATTATACTATATGAATTAGTTATTGCTGAGTACCTGCAACCTCTCAGGCAGAACAAATTAGAGGAATTTTGCCCAGTTTTGCCCAGATGGACAATCTGACTGATATAATTTATTGTTGATCCAAAGACTGAGTTGAGAAATGACAAAAAGTGGCAACTAGAAGTACTATAGTCCCAATCCTACTAGTTCCAGGAGTGTGAGAGTTCTGAAAAGTAGAAGCTGCTTACTACTATATAATGTCCTTAATACTTGTGTAACTATGACATCCTATGAAAACTAGTTGGCTGTAGTTTTTCAGAAGTCACAGAAGGATCAAAAATGCACTTTACTTGACAACCAGCTGCTATCTTTTGGTTGTAAATGCAGAACCAGGTAATAGGTGTGCTGTTATGCTGGATAATTTTCAGAAAACCTCATATTTATTTCCACTTTGTAACCTGTTGGAAGCCCTGATATGTGGATAATTTAATCTATGACTTTGAAGATGCCATTGAGGAAAAAAGCTGATTAAAGGTTGGATAGATCAGTGTGTGTCATTTTAAGCTTCTCGTTTGTTTGGGGTAT